CCTTGGCAATCATGACTAGCCACAGTTGGTCAGCTGTCAGATTGTCCCTTTGCCCCTGACCTTGCAAGCCCAAAACAACAGCTACCTAGAGATCAGAAGCTCAAATTGTGAAAAAGCAAGCCAGTTTCATGACCCACACTGCTGGGTGGGTTGTCTCCAACATACCAAAGTTTGAGTTCACCATAGTTTCTGGCAGAGGAGCTTAATTCAATCAGCTTGAGGATCATCACTAGCTTTGGAAGATTCATTGGAGGCTGCATCCCAAAAGCAGGCAGAGCTAATGCCAATTTTCTGGGATGGTTCTAGGAGTTGTAAGAGGTGAAGAGTGGGTCTTCAACATCTGGGTCAAAATGCATTAAACCAGGGGGCATGGCTGGCTGGGGGATTCTGGGAGTTGAAGTCTACAAGTCTTAAAGTTGTGGTCCACAAGTTTTAAAGCTGCCAAGGTTGGACATCCCTGCATTAAGGAGTCTCTGGAGGAGCAGGAAACATTCAAAAAAGGTTACATTTTCTACCCCGTGAAGATGACTTAGAGAGATGCTGGCAAGTTGGACGTGTACTGGCCCATTTTCTTAGAGCTCAGACTTTTGAATTCTCAGCAAGGAAAGGATTTCTGTGTAACCAGGCAACCAACCAACCAAACATCTATTCTCTCTACCTGCTTTTAACCTGTTGCTGCAGGAAGTCCCGGAAAATTTTAATTGCTGAATCATGGTGAAGCTAAACTTGGCTTGTTTCACATCCTTCCTGCCACTTTTGGTAGCAAACAGAAGAAGCGAGAACTGCTGTTCCTTTTGCAGGCGGGAATTGAAACGTTAAGATCTAGAGAAGGTTTCTCAATCTTGTCAACTTGAAGATGTGTGGATTTCAACTCCCTGAATTCTCCTGCCAGCCATGGAACTGAAGTCAACACCTCTTCAAGTTGACACGGTTGAGAAAAGCTTCTCTAGATGATTACCGCACTCATAATAGCAGTGTTCCAATATTTGAGGGTCTGCCACCAAGAAGTACCTGAAGGCAGGACAAGAAGCAACGGATGGAAACTAATCAAGGAGAGAAGCAAGCTGGAATTAAGGAGAAACTTCCTGACTGTGAGAACAATTAACCAGTGGAACGACTTGCCTCCAGAATTTGTGGGTGCTCTATCACTGGAGGCTTTTAAGAAGAGATTGGACAACCATTTGTCTACAACGGCACAGGGTTTCCTCCTTGAGCAGGGGGTTGGGCTAGAACAGTGGTTCTCAACCTTTTTAATGCTGCGACCCTCCAACTGGTCGTAAGTCGAGGACTACTCAACTGGTGCAGCACCGTTTGCAGAATGGGACTTTTAGCGGGCTCAGCAGGGCAGAGACAGCCTGGACAACTCCTATTGGCTTTTGAAAGCCAATAGAATTAGACTCTATTCAAGAGAGTCTCTTCTATTGGCTTTCAAAAGCCAATAGAATAAAAGGGAGTAGCACAGCTAAGGAAAAGGGGGGGGGGAAATGGCGGACTGCGTTGTTTGGCGACCCCCGTGAAATGGTCGTTCGACCCCAAATGGGGTCCCAACCCACAGGTTGAGAACCACTGGGTTAGAAGACCTCCAAGGTCCCTTCCAACTCTGCTATTCTGCCTCAGAAGGGTTGGGAAATGTGTCATCCATAACAGGTAACTCTTAGGACAAACGATAGAGTGAGCACCATTCCTGGATGCTCGCTTGGGCACGGGAGATGTGAGGTCACCTGCATCATGGACAAATGAGATGAACTATGGAATCTGTGTGAGGTTGCATGCCATGTCTCCTGTGTGCATTGGGCTTCTCTCTGTCCTTTGCATGATGATGTCCTAAGTTGCTTCACAGGCAGGGTGATCTCATGAGGGTACACAAAGTCATCACAGCTTTGATTAAATGCCTGTATTGTTGGACGGAGAAAAGATAGCCAAGGTTTCCTTTCCCCTGTTATTTTTTTTCCCCTTTAGACCTAAGCCTCCTGACTATTGAATACCCTTTTTACGTAGCCCTGAACTAAAGGAGTTCATTTCAGGTAGCTGAGCGTCTTTCAGTTTTGAGTTGCTTCTGTTTTATTTCTTGCAGGAGTTCTTGTCATGATGATGCCTTGAGTGAATATTGTTGCACTTAACAGTTAGATTTCCTATTGATTTTTTTTGAGTGTGTTGTAAAGTGATCTGTACCCTTCCAGTTGGCAGGCACTGGGGGACTTTGGCAGAAGGAGGACTTGGAGGAGGAGGAGGAGGAGGAGGAGGAGGAGGAGGAGGAGGAGGAGGAGGAGGAGGAGGAGGAGGAGGAGGAGGAGAAAAAGTTGGACCATGCTAGTACTTAGTTGAGACATGTCCAGGAGATCCCATTGCCTAAAAACTAGACTGAGAAGCTGAAAGAAGAAGGTCATCTGAAAAAAAGCAGCGGGGGGGAAATCACTTTTATGTTTTTGCTATGAAAACAACATCTTTGGAGTCATCAGGGATCAAATCTGACTCCAAGAAGTCTATGGTTTTTGCCAGAAATCTATTTAATGGTTCTAACGAATATAATATTAACTTGTAGATTTTTTTTTTTAAAAAAAAAAACCCTGATAAATAAGGAAAGAAGAAGCTGGGGAAATTTAGTAAGGAAGTGGTAATATATTTTATAACTTGAGGGTCCCAAACTACAAAAAAAAATATAGGAAAATGCCTATTTAGAGCTAGACACCATAGATAGATAAAGGGTCCAGGAATTCATCTGGTCCCTAAGAAAGACATTTATGTGACTCTCCAAAACTTACCTTGAATTGAGATCTATTTATTTTTCTTTTAACTGAAAGAAGGAGAAATCTTGATGCACAGAGGAAAGCATGGGATCGCTACCTATCAAACTACCTCTAATTCTGGATTGGATTTTTTTTTAACAAAAAAACAGATCCAATTTGATTCAATTCAGTTTGACCATTGGACAACAATGTCCAAACTGGTTTAGAAGCATGTACTTTGCTAGGAGCCGGCTGTTGAATTCAGTACAGAAAATTGATTCGTAGGTCAACGGAATCATCTTTCAATCAAATTCCACAGCTGAAGATAACCTAACCCTTAGCCATTGTAATCCTTGATATCAATCCAGTTATGATTTTGGGTTGGCCTTGGCACATTCCAGATGTTTACCTTCCTGGCCTCTCCTGTTTTGAGGATTGTGATGCCAGGACACCATTCAGAGTTAGAGTGACTTTTGGAATTCCAAACATTGTACATCCTTGGACTATAAGGGAAGTATTATTGGATTCTAACCTAAGCAGTTCCTCCGTAAGATGTATAGAAATTCACTGTGAAATCCTACTCATAACTACACACACACATATATATATATATACACACATTCCCTCTCTCTCTCTCTCTCTCTCTCTCTCTCTCTCTCTCTCTCTCTCTCTCTCTCTCTCTCTCTCTCTCTCTCTCTCTCTCTCTCTCCCACCCAGCTGGTTTCTTTGTAAATAGAGGCTGAACTGAGAATCCCAAAGACAACAGAACAGACCATAATATGCCCATCAATTCCTTCGAATGCTGAACTCCTATTGCAGTGAGTGGGAGAGAGAAAAGGACGGAAACTTTTTTTTTTAATGTATATTTTAACCAGTAGATATTGGCTGAGACTTAGTGAGTGATGAGCAAAGGGAGCCTATGACAATTCGCCACAACCAACTCGCAGTGGGTCAAGAGTCACACTAATATCAAAGAAATAGTAGACTAGAACTATTAAAGAAAGGATGCCCAAGGAGGGACAAAATGAAACGGGAATGAGAAAAAATTATAATAATTTTTAAAGTATTTTAAGTAATTAAATGGAATTGTTGAATTGTTCCACAGTGAGTTATCCCATGGAGACTTGACTATGGAGATTTGTCCCATGGCGAGTTGGCAACGGCAAATTGTCCCATTCCAGAGCAAAGGTCCTCTGTTCCTTTTGGGGCTGTAGATGTGCTTTTGGGGGATGGGGGGAAGACGTGGAGTCGTAATTAAGGAAATTCACATCAAACCCCATCCTGTTTCAAGCCAGTTCTTCAAAAGACACAATGCAGTTTGAAACGGGAAGGTCTTTAGTTTGGAGGCTACCAAATGGAGATCAAGTTAGATGTTGAGCTGGTAGGACATCTGCAAGGCCCATCAACCCATTAGCAGTTTTTGGACTGGATCACTTTGGTTTGCTTCTTCCTGGCTAACGTACACTTTCTATCTCCAGAAAACTAGCTAAAGGGGGGAAAATCCTATCTAGAACAATGGACATGTTGATCCCAGAAGGAAAGGCAAGAGAACATATCTCAAGAGAAAGAGAATCCAGCTAAGTTGGTGATGCTGCCCAATCAGCTTGGAAATTTCATGTGCCGTCTTCTAGCCAAGATTTAAAAACCAAGGCTTTTCTGACAAAGAATTTCACAAAAAAAGACTATATTCCGAGCACGGTAGGTATGGGCACTTCTGCGTAGCGCTCTACAAACATTGATGGCCCAAGTTTGACCATCATCTCACTCCCATCCATTCACAAGATATTGCCAACTGAACCAACAGTTATATCCTTTTTCTGGTCTATTTTTAAGCTACACCATCTTATAATATCCACAATGGTCAATGCACTCAGGAATGATCTCCAGAACTTCACATTTGACCAAGAAACATGTTCACAACTTGAAGAACACAGAAACCGTTACCCAGAGCCACCAAAAGTCAGAAGTGCATCAAGAAAACATTTCAGCCACCTCGGAATGATCACACCCTTGAATCATGGAACTTCTTACATGTTTCCAAACAACCACGTGCTCTGAAATAAGACAAATCGGGGTTAAGAGCCAAGATAGAGCTCAACTCAACTATGGGCACCTTTTTTCCCCTGCCCAATCTACTTCCTGCAACTTCTATGCCACTCTAACCCTCTTTACCCACAACCATTTGACAAAAGCACAATCAGAACCTTGTTCCAGGTCCTTTGTCCCCCCCCCCCCCGGTCACATTTTCAGACGCGCCTCAAGAACCACACTTACGTCTCGAAGTTCCTTCGCCACCTCCTTGAGTTCTTGCAGAATGCCTTCTAGCTGCCCAATCACCATCTTCATGCGCCCTCGGATGTGCTCCCTCTCATTAATGTTGCGGCCGTCTGTTGTGTGGTTAGTGGGCTTCCTATCCTGCAAGTCCCGGTTGTTCATTCTTCACAGGGTGCCGGGGAGCTGGGGCAGAGTTGTGTTGCACATTCTGCAGTTGCCCAACCAGATTGTGCCTCCACAGAGCCTCTCTTGGGTAGGGAGGTCTCCACATCTTAACGCTGCCCCCTTGCCCAGAAAGTCCCAGTAGCGCACTCACTTCCTATCCTTTGTTCTCCCTAGGGTAACTGGAAGGGGCCAACCAAGCCAGAGAGAATGGGGTGGGATCGAGGGGGTGATGAACCCAACAGACATACATCTCCTCTAACTTGGCCATCAGCCCATCTAGGCAGCCAAGGTTTGGAACCACCATCAGTCTGCAAACTGGTTTGGGAGAGGATGCCACAGACCGTGAGCTTAAAAAAAAGGTTAAGGTGTGTTATTTGTGCTCTGCTCTGCAGAAAGAAGCCAGTGGTCCCTGCCCGCCTCTATGCCATGCTCTCCTTCCCAACAGAGAGGGCATCGCCTCCAACTAGTTCCTCATCACTACTCTTGGGGAGAATCCATGGGAGACCTTGGGTCTTGGTTCCTTTCTCAGGGCCTTCTCCACCTCTGCTGCCCAGAAGTCTCCTGCATGGGTAGCTGGGTTCCACTGCCATCCGTACAGCTTGGGCAGATTCAGAGGCTCATGCAGCAATTCCAGCCTGGCCAGGATTTGGAGGTGTCTTGTTGAGATCTTAGGAAGCTCCTTAAAAACGAGGAACATGGGGAGGTTTAGCCTTTAAAGAGGCCATTGGGGAGTTGCTGGAAGCACGGAGTATTGCACACCATTTCCTGCAGCGTGAGAGAAAGAGAGAGGGGAAGGGGGGGGGAGGTGGAATTAGCACTACCAGAAACGGCTTTGGGTAGAACACCACCAGCCTTCCAAATCGCTGAACTTCAACTTGACTGGGTGTTCCCATGGTGACTCCTGGTTCTTCTTCCTCCCAGAAGAACTACCTTCTGCTCACCCAGAAAAGCCACCAATGGGGTTCAGCTCTGTGTTTCAAGGCAGCCCCGAGTCAGAAACTGCTCTGTGGGGTCTCCTCCTTTGGGTTCTGCAGGAGGTCCTCCTCCCTAAGAACCATCCCAAGATGAACCACCTGGAAGAGGAAACCCTGAGCTGCACGGGCAACACACAACCACCCCAACCTGTGAGTGTGCTGATTTCTACACACCATCCAACCGAAACTTTTAGACCTGCTCTCCTCCTTTGGGGCCCCCGACCTAGCAGAGGTCCTGTGGATCCAGCCCATTTTATTTATTTATTTTCCAGTCCACTAAGACAACTTAAAAGCGGCAACTTACAAGCACAGCAGCTGCTTGGGAGCACATTTCATACTCAATGGATCTCTTGCTCTTCCTTCCGGGAGCACCTTTGGATTCCAACCAGATTCCCAGGTCCCATTCCTGTTCTCCAAGCCCAAGAGACCGTGGACATGGGTGATGAGGCATCAGATACATCCAATAAAAAAAAAATAGAAGATTTAAAAAACACACACACACACACACACAACAACTCTCACCCACAGTTTCTCAGGTTAACCCTTTGGCTCTTGAGGACACATCCGAGTTATTGCTTTCTGATTTCTTTTAAGGAGGGTGGGGAGAAGTGAAGAATTTCACCCTGCCTTTTGCAACCAGCCGGAGAGAGGAATCAGTTCTGTCCAGAAGCTCTGGCTTTACAGCCTGGCCATCTGCAGAGCAGAAGGGTGCAATCCTATCAGCTCACCGGCCTCAGGCCTTGAGTCCACAGGTGACCGCGGTTCCCAGCTTGGGTCAAGAGGGTCTCAAAGCCCGTTCATGTCCTTAACACGTTGGAGGCCAAGGGCCAGTGATCTCCCAACAGCAACCGGAAGCAACTTGGAAGGCTCAAGCAAGTGATGGAGAAATTGGGCAAGGAGATGCTTCTGCTGGACCCTTCAATAGGTGCTCTTGGAGACAACAGCTTGCATCATGGTGAGAAGAAGTGCTTTGGGCAAAGCTGGAGGGAGGGAGGGAGGGAGGGAGGGAGGGAGGGAGAGAGAGAGAGAGAGAGAGAGAGAGAGAGAGAGAGAGAGAGAGAGAGAGAGAAAGAGAGAGAATGAATGCACGTCTTCTTTAAAGCTCCCAGACTTTGAGTGACAGCGAGGCAAGTCCAGTGCCCAGATTCCGATGCTTGGAGGGCCAGCTAGAAGGCAAGGCAGTAGATGTTGAGCACTTTTGCCCTGGTCCTCTTGCCACTCCAGTCTCCTGAGGTCTGCTTGAGTGCCTTGCATCGGCCGCAGCTGCCCCGTCCTCCTCCTCCTCTTCCTCCTCCTCCTCCTCTCCTGCTAGCAAGCGATGGAAAAAACTGCACTGGAGGCTTTCCCCTCCCTCTTGACATCCTCACAGTCTGCCAGCTTGAAGACGATTGCTCAGCTCCGAGATGCTAAGCTGGTGCTGTGTCAGAAAGGGAGGCAGGGCCTTGGCAGTAAGGGGGGGGGGATTTAAAGGGCCAGAGCCTCCTGCCACCCAACTGCTAGCTGCAAGGATAGGCAACCTCTCTCTCTCCCCCCACTCCACCGCCCCAGCTTCCCTGTTTTGTTTTTTAAAAGACAATTACAATTGTAGCTAGGAAAGGTACGATTGGAATAGATCTCTGGCCAACGGTGTGTATGCTAATAGAGTTATAGAATTGCAGAATGCAAGGGGGGGGGGGGAAGGTCTTGGGGAGCATCTAGTCTAACCCCCTGCTCATGGCTGGAGTCCACTTTTGTAGCTCCTTCCTTAGACAACTATTCATTGAGGCCCTTGTTCCACTGTCCCTGCTCTTGTTCCTGATCTCCAACCAACACCTACTTCCTTGCAAATTGAGCCTCTTGCTTTCGTCTAGCTTTCTGAATAATTACCCTGTCTTCTACCTGGTGGTCCTTCAAGTAATTATGAAGTCTCCATGGAGTCTTCTCTTCTCTAAGCTAAACATCTCCAATAGTTTTCAACTTCTTAAAGTCTCCTTGTCATCTGAGTTGCTCTGTTTAAAACATGTTCCAGAACCCGACAAGAAACTTCTCAGCTAGAATGATTGGTGGACATTTACACAAATTCAATCTAAATATACAGAGGGCAAAAAATTATATGAAATCCAAAAAGAGCCACAAGAATTGGATAAAATTATACATGGAACAGAAATAAAATTAATTAGCAATTTATACAAATACCTATTGAGGTATAAAATGGAAGACGAGGTTGTCAAAGACACAATGATTAGATGGGCAAAAAAAATCGGATATAATATAGAATTGGAGAAATGGGAAAAAATATGGGAAATAAATATAAAATTGACTATGTCGGCGGCATTCAAGGAAAACCAGTTGAAGATGTTTTACAGATGGCATCTTCCACCAGCAAAGCTTGCCAAGATGTTCCAGATTTCCAACATGCTGGAAATGTAAAAAAGTACATGGAACATATTATCATTTATGGTGGACATGCCCAATTGCAAAAAAATATTGGTCTACAATAAGAAAATGGATTGAAGAAATAATAGACCAACCCGTAGACTGGAAACCAGGGATCTTTTTGTTGGGTATTTTAAACAGAAAATATAGTAAAGAAATATGGTACTTAATTTTACATATAATAACAGCGGCAAGAATAGCATATACACAGTGCTGGAAAAATGAGAATATACCATCAGAGGAAGAAGTAATAAGAAAAATCCTGGACTGTGCTGAGATGGACAAATTAACAAAAGAGATAAAAGAAAAGGAAGACACAGAGTACTATCTAACATGGAACAAGTGGTATGACTGGTTGGAGACTAGAAATAATAGAGGAGAATAAATATGGAAAGGTCAAAAGTGAAAATATGTGTATAATAATGTATAATAATAATATGAATTATTCTTAGTAAGAAGTAGAACATGAAGGAAGAAAAATGTAAATAAAAAATAACAGGGCTATAAGGACAAATATTCTAAAGAAGAATAAGGGGGGAAGTGTAAATAATAGATTACCGTTACTCAATTGCTGTAAAAAAAAGGAAGAGTATATATTGTGTGTGTATGTGTGTTATGTTTTGCTTTGTTTTGTTTTGTCTTGTTGGTTAAAAATAAAAATAAAAAAAATAAAAAATAATAATAAAAAGGAAACTTCTCACCTAATGGTTAGTTAAATGGGTGGTACACCCATGAAGATCCAGTTAAACTGATTTTTTGCTACCGACGCCTACGCACAAAAATCTTCTAAGCTTAGCACCCGCTTGGGCTGAGATAAGGATCAACTAAATTCAAAGGAGGTTGTACTTAGTTTGCTTGTAGCTACATAGGGATTACTGATCCCTCTTTAATTCTGCCCCCAGATCCTGCCTCTCCTCCCCTCCAGTTAAGGAACGATAAAAAAAAAAAAAAAATACTCTGAACCACCTTGGTGCTTCAAGAAAGTAAGTCTACTTCTTTATGTCCGCCACCATTCTTTTTCCTGGTAAAAGATGAATTGCAGAAACATACCTCCAACATCAATAGCATTCACAGCATGTAACTGACAGGCTCCCCAAATGTTGTGGTGGCACCCCAGATATTGCTGAATCTCAGCTGTCCTAGAAAACATGGCCAACAGTGAGGGATATTGGGATTTAGGCACAGCTGAATCCCTATTTCTATCCTAGCCTTATATCACAGATGGAATGGGAAAGGAGTAGGAAAGGGGAAATAATACAGTCTTTTGTCTTCTTTGCTCTCGTCAAGCTGAAGTTCATTCAGGTATAAATATATCTGCTGGCGTATCCAGAGATATTTGTCCCTACATTCACTAAAGATTAAGCTGTCTGTCCTTCATAATATGATTCTATCTGTCTATATATTTGAGTCCAATTTCCCATAATTATCACCATTGCAGTTCCTTGTCATGCTGTTTCAGAAATGGGAGAACTCAGAATAACAGCCTGTCAGAAATTCTGGGATGTCCACTTAGACGCTGATTTTTCCAGCGAAGGGATGAACCCTTTCATGCTTTCCCTTCCTTTTACTGAGTGATTTCCTTCATCTCCTCCTCTTCTTCCTCCTGCAAAACTCTACAGCAGTGGTGGTGAACCTATGGCACGCGTGCCAGAGGCGGCACTCAGAGCCCCCTCTGTGGGCACATGCGCCATGCCCCGGAGATGGCAACCATCTTCTTCAACCAGCTGCCCGCTAACTTACTGAGGTCCCACATGGCCAGATGCATCCCAGCACCCATGCACTTGCTGGCCTCTGTGTGCGGGGGCCAATGGTGTCAGGCAGCAGCCACCCCGGCCCCTGCCTTGCCTTGCCCTGTGACATGGCACCCCCGTCCTACCTCGCCTTGCCTCGCCTCACCCCATAGAACCAGCCTCTTGCCCACCGCCCCACCCGCCAGAGACCCCTGGATCTCCCCCAACCCTATCCAGCCCCCACAGGCGTTCCTCCCCACGAACAACATTGGGCTGGCCATACCCACCCTGGCCACTCCCACCCATCTGCCATGACCACTGTAGCCACACACACCCAGCGGGCCATGCCCACCTGGCACCCGGCAATAGATAAGTGGGTTTTAGGTTGAAGTTTGGGCACTCGGTGTCTAAAAGGTTTGCCATCACTGCTCTATAAGAACCCCACATGAACACATTTAGAAGGTTTCCTGATTTTTATAACTGTTGATCACAGGATATTTGGGTTACAGTATGTGTGTGTGTGTGTATGTAATGTTTGTATGTATGTACATACGTATGTGTATTTTCAAACATCTCCTTGCCCAGATGAAGAAAGGCTGTTTCTGTATTAATCAATTCAGAAACGGAGAGTTGCAGCCTTCAGAAATTAATTTATGGCAGGCGGGATTTGGGATGTGATGTTCAAATGCGTCCCCTGGGTTTTCATTGGTACAGGAGGTTATGAAAAACCAGGCTAGGTACGGCCTTGAAAAATGTTCTGAAAACCAGGACAGGTAATCTGATATTTGTGTTCATTCAATTTGTATTCCTAAGAGAAAGATCACATAAATGTGCAATACTGAAAAGTAGATTTGAGTCTTTATTATTCTGTAGTGTAGGTTGTACTTTCAGAACTGATGACTAGGAAGCACGGAAGGATTAATCACCCAAAATTGTTTTGGGAGCTGCATTTTATGTCCTCTCGCCACACTCTCTCTTCCTCTCCCCCTCTCTTTCTTCTTTCCATGTTTGTTTATGATTTTTTTTTTGTTAGAACATGATTCATTGGGCGCTTTGCTCCTGAAGGAAGAACGTATTGTTAGCAGAGACAAGTTTTTGCCCTCCTTGCTATCTCTTCAGAGCTTCCCTATCACAGAGAATTCATCTGATCCCCTCCAGACTGCCCAAAAGTCCTTTAATTTCACACACACACACATACACTCACACACACACACACACACACACACACATATCTTAATCCCGAAGCTATAGGATGGCATCCAACCCAAGTCCTTTGAAGAGGTCTTCAGCTATCAGGATATTGCTTCCTAAGCTGGAGCTGCTGAAGAAACATTAAGCTAACGTTTGTGGACTAAGAAGCAGGTAATCCTAAGTAGTCCTTGATTTATAACCGTTTCTTAATTCTATTCGATCAATTTGAGATATAGATGGATGGATAGATGGATGAATAGATAGATGGACAGATGAATGGATAGATGGATGAATATGGATTGATGATGAAGATAGATAGATTATCTATCTATCTATCTATCTATCTATCTATCTATCTATCTATCTAATAAATAGATAGGGTTAGATAGATAGACAGACAGACCAATTTGAGGACCTGTGAACATGGTTAATTATTTTAATTCAGTATCACTGCCTTCTTTGAAGGCTTCATAGCCGAACACCCACACAGCAAATTAATCGATAATCTGCCGAGTGCAAAATTAATTTTGAATAATGGAGCTGACAGGAAGCATTTTGACGGATGGGAAACAAATGAAAATGGGAACCAGGAATTGATTGATTTAAATAAATAAGTACGCAGCGTATTTAGGCATACAATAT